GGTAGGCATGGAGTGGATGAAAACAGAATTTCTTTCTATGTCCTTGTTTGAGCATTTATGTCAATATACTCACTCTCCCTTTGTCTATCACCTTCCTTATGCTTTCTAGGCTCCTACAAGTTTTATGTGCAAATGTTCTGACTATCTGGAAAACTAAATGAAAGCCCAGAACTCACACCGATCCTGAGAAAGAGCAGTGGTCTTCTTAAAACTTTAAGACAAAGCATTCCTGAGGCTATGGGACGAATCAATGCATCCCACTGCATTGGAGTTAGGAAACTAAGGAAAAGGATAAAATTAGATTGTGTGAGAAAAACATTTTTTCAAGGATCTATAGAGAGGGACATTTATCAAGAGAGAAATTTTGTCAGTCAGCTAAAGATCTCTGAGTCTCACACAGTGTGCTGGCCGTTAGAGGTATGCCTCAGAATCGGGCACAGCCCTTGTCACAGAACCACATATACTGATCCCTAATCCCTAACTTTGAATGATTTACCTTCCTTTTTTCCAGGTATCTAAAAAACAATTTTTGACATCCAGGTACAGCCAGAAAACATGCTGGACGTGTGTTAAGCTTTGGACACCCCAACACGTTATTCCGTCATCTAGAGAAGCTGGCTGGATGCCTGCATGCAGACATAGCTATGGCACCCATGGGAAAAGACAACATGTTCTACTCTGCAGCCAGCCCGGGGTTGGCTCTCATGATGGCCCAGTAGGGTCATCAAACTGAAGGGGGATGTTCAGAGCTTGGAAAGAGGCCAGGGGGCTGGCACTGAAAGGAATAAACATTTGTGAAATCATCCTGAAGGGGCAAGTTGAAAGGAGCTGGGTGTGCTGGCCTGGCCAGCAGCTGGGGGGAGGCCTGTCCTAGGTAATGAAGAGGCATCTGTCCTGGCACGGAGGGCCTAGAAAACAAAAGATAATGGCTTTGGAGGCAACTGTGAGATTTCTAAAGAGATTTAGGTCTGTCAGCCTTCACAATGTGTGGCCAAAGGAAATTACAGATAGCCTTTTCCTAACCCTTCCTCAAGATCAAAGATAATCAGAGATAATCCAGTTTCAAAGGATAAACTAGCCTCAGGGAGAAGGTGAAGTTTCATTTCAACGCTTAGGTCACCGTTATTGTGATGCGATTTTGTGATGTGATGTGATCACTGCTTTGTGATTCCCTGATTCCACATGGGGGTCTGTTATTTAACAAATGTAAAGTGTGTACATTCATGAGTGAGTGAGTGTGAGCAAGTATGTACGTGTATGTGTGAGTATGTGAGAGCTTGTGTGTATGAAGGAGCCTAAGTGTATGGAAATGGGAGTGTTGAAGTGCGCGTGTGCCTATAGTGGAGGGTGTGGTGCTCATCTTCCTTCCCTGAAAAACAAATACAAACACTCTTTGGGAACATTTTTCCAAGGAAAGTTGGAACTTCTGTGTGGAGACACACCCTAGCTGCTCCATTCCTGAGAGAAAGCATGGCTTTCCCCAGGCCACGAGCATTAGCTGCTGTCCTATCGCCTGCTACAGCAAGACTACGGATGGTATCATCACCAATGGAATGGACGTCACATTCCAAGAGGTAGGCTTGTTCCCAGCCAGATACAGAGGAACACCATGAACATCATTTTCTACTGTCTATAAAAGTGGTCACACCCTTTCTTCTGAACACATGGCTTTCTACTTGACTACAGAAGAAAAAAAGAGAAAGTTACATGCGCTCCAAGTTCAATATGACTTCTATGCCATTTCACTCTTATAACTAAGGAAAAGAAAATAGCGTTTTCAAAGCAGGAACAGAAATTTGGTTTAATTTCTAAAGATCTGCTTTAAGACAAATGCCAAAATATGTGGCCGCATTGCAATAAAACTCCAAGGAAATGTCTTGCCCCATGTCTAATCTACTTATTCTGGAGTGAATTACAAAGAAAAAAATTGTTTTCATCTCTCCAAATTTCAAAGAATATTACACTTTAAATGCTTCACAACTCACTTCTTCCCTGAGCATTACATTTTCTCTTACATATTTTGAACTTCCAGTCAGATAAGATTACACATTTCTACAAATCCTGTGTCTGCTGTAGTTATCTGAGGCCCAAAGACTGCAAAACCAAGCAAATGTTATCTTGACCTTTTTTAATACAGAAATGCTCATGGTGGACAGTCACTGTTGGTTCTAGGCTCCTCTGTGGCTCAGTCAGTAACAACTGTCTCTAGACTCTTCAGAGGTGGGCAATCATTATTGGCCAAGGCTGGGGGTGGGGGCACTTGTGGACACCTCTATACTTTTCTGCTGGAGCAATGTCAGACACTTCCATATGCCCCTCTTGCAACACTACTTAGAAAGCTCCTACCGGGACATGTAAGGGGGAGTCAAAAACTTGTACTGAGGAAACAGAAAAGCGGTAAGATATGAATAAACAATCAGAAGAGAACACAATTCCTTCTCTTTGAATGGTAATGCCCCTTAATGTGGCTGAAAATGGCACAGACATCCTAAAGCCAAGTTCCTCAGCTGATAAGCACCGTTGGAATTATTTTAGGGATTTGTGATTGCTTTTGTTTGTTTTAAAGAAACATGTGGTTTTTTCCATGATTTCCTAGTAAGAAGTAGATCCATCTCCTATTAAGCATTCTGTGTTTAAACAATTGCTGGGAATCCTTGTATCAGAAAAACTCCTTAAGAAGTGATGAGGGTGATTTTTTGATAATGTTAGGCAATATCGAGTCAGTTTATGAATATTCACTCTTAGAGTCAACAGGTCGACACTACCTTGGATTACCAAACAAAGGGCAGTGTCATCCTGGTTGTTACTTAGAGACACATCTCAGTCAAGAGCCTGTGAATTAGGTGAGAAGAGGATCTTCAATAAGTAGCCACTGACTTTATTTCAAAGTTAGGTCATAGGGGTATAAAGCAAGGGTCTTCTGAGCCATGCTTACCTCTTGAGTTCCAGAATATAGGGATAGGCGAATACTGCAACTGGTCACAAGCCACAGAGGAGAGCCTCAAAGGTTCACCTTCTAATTCAGAGCCTGACAGGTCATCTACCCTATGGATGTGTGCCAGGATTTTTGTGGTTTGTAGGGAAACTAACAGTGTGCAAGCAACATAAGGGGTTTTCTCATGTTACTATATTTCAAGAATAAAGAGTATCTCATCAGGTGAGCAAAGAGTTGATAATGCAAAGGCACAAACATTGTGTCTTGTTTTGATTCCAGAAGTTTACCCCAAGAACCTGCTTTCATTGAGAGTTAAAGGAGCTTAGGATGAAACAACTATAAAGATAATTAGGAAAAATGGAAAACAAGACAAATAATAGAAAACCACTCTGTGATACTGAGGGTAAGGTAATAGCAAGATACATGTCTTTGGAAATTCGATTATGTGAATGCAATCTTCTGACAGTCAGCTAAATTTCTTTCCTTTCTGTATCCAACATTTTAAATTTTAAATATTGGTAAATGTAATATTTTTGAAATAGCTTTATATCATCTAAAGTGGCAGTTTATCTTAGTGAGGTTAACTGTGTTATTTATTAATCCATTGTCTTATCGTTTCTACTTCTGTTTTGCCCAAAAAATGTTTGAGCTGGATACACTGAGTTATGGAAGCATTTAACATTTTAAATTAAGACAGAAGGAATTCTAAATGACACTTGAGATATCCTTGAGAGAAGCCTCTCATCTCTCGTGTTTATAGATATCTCATATATTCATAAATCAAATCCTGTGTATATTTAAGCCAGACCAAAATATTAAAAAGCACCATGTCTCCCATTAGAAAAAAATGCAATTATTCTGTTTAGTTATGTTTTTAAAATAGCTTGACATTTTAAATAATTGATGAATATGTAATTCGCTAATCAGTAACGGACAGTTCCCATGGAGGTACCATTGCTAGTTTTATAATTTACTCTTTCAGAAGAGTTTTATGAATGCAAAGATTAAAGCCAGGAAGCGGAGAGAAATCACTCCAGGATGACATTATCCTATTTAACACCCACAATACTTAACAGTAACAACAATTAAACTTCACAAATTAAGTCGATGTACTGAATTTCTATTGGGTGAGATATAGAGAGACATTTATGTGTCATGATTTCTCCCCATACTAAATTCCCCATAGACAGCCATGTACCCAAATGAACATCAGAGCAACATTCTGTTCCTGTAAAGGATTAAATTATATTTTAGTTTATGCCTTTATTTCTTGTCTCTTTTCTCCAAGTGATAATAGAAGTCTTATTAACCATGCACGAACACTTACATTCTCTTTCTGAGAACATTTCTGATGTTGTTGGGATAAGAGAGGAAAGCCATTTATTTAAAGATCGCCTTATTAATCTACAGTTTTTGGTAAATATCTAGATTATCTGGTTGGTCAATTTGTCTTTATGGCCTAAGAAAGAAGACTAGCTGCCATGTGCAATCCAGATGAATTGGTATAGGAATATTTATAAGGACATCGATATTCACAGTGTCTTACAATCATGCTCCAAGCTAAATAGAAATAAAAGCAAAATGGCCACAAATATTACAGTATAATAGGATAAGAGGTAAAAGGTATGTACAAATTCATTGACAACATCTGTGCAAGTGTTGTAGACAAAACATTTAAAAAGAAATCTACATAAAACAAAGTAGATAAATTTATCAAATGTTGATAAATTTTCAGAGACAGTATAAAAGTACACAAGACATGGAAGAGAGAAAGAATTGTTAAAAAAATAACCGCTAAGCCAATACAGAGGGTACAAGTTTACTACATTAATATTACAGAATGATGGGAACCAGAGACAAAAAAACGATTTGGTAACAAACAGCAAAAAAAGTTTCACCAGTCACAGAGAAGAAAGACTTTCCTTTTCGGATGAGAACACAGACTGCTATGACTCACCCCCTCCACCCATACACACATAGAGAAATAAAAGCCAATGCAAAAGTTGTCTACAGCAACACATGACAGACAGAGGTGGAAGCGTTTGGCATGTTGCATCACAGGAAGTCAATCACGATTGGCTAACGATGATGGTACCTGGCTCTGTTGCAGGTCACCGGCTGGCCTGAGAGGAGTAACTGATGGAGGGGGCACACCTGATGTGGAGGCAGACCGGCCTAATTTGCAGCTTACTTTCGGTTCTGTGAACAGGGGGAAAAGGCAGAATATTAGCTAAACAACGTCCACCAGTGATGAACAGCATTCAGACTCCCGTTTTGTTTCACTGCATGTTCTTTCAACCCCTCAAATACTTGTGAGGCTTACTAGTAATTGACAGGTGATGGAACGATCTCATAACCATGGACTCTAAAATAAGCTTGACTTGCAGTCAGCTCCTAGAAATAAAGAACAAAACACAGAAGCATGGCCTTTGTTCCCTTGGACATTTTACCTCATTTAGGGTTAGTTTCTACAGTGCCATTCAGGGAAAAAGCAAGTGACATGACCACTTCGGGTACTTTCTTTTCAGCTTTGGCCCATAGGTCTAGTCCTGAAATGTCTTCTCCAAAACTTCCCCTCCCTCCTTTCCTCTCTCCCTCCCTCCCTTTCTCCTATTTTTTTTTCTAATTTTGAAATCTATATCACTGTGCTTGTCCTGAATACTTTTATCATGTATCAAGCCCTCCACTTTGTTCAAAATTTCAGAGCATTTCTCTGATTTCATCTCTATTCGCTTTCAATTTTATAACCGCTTTCTAAGACTCTTGCCATTTTTGATAATAATAGTATTTTTCCAAATTATAAAGGCATTCCCCTAACTCTTCTTCTATTTCAGAAACCCAAATGAGCTGTCCAGGGCATGGACAGGATACTCTGGAGATAAGAATTTGGGGATGGAAAGAGTTCCCTTCATCCAACAAGGTATAGTAAGGATGTTAATTTTCATACATATTTGAAGATATTTGATAAGAAAGAGGGAAAAAAGTCATACAATAAAAATTGGCACCTGTGCTTTTGTCACAAATTTTAACTGTTACTTTTTGAATATCGGGTATATTCCAGCTTCTATCTGGGCTACATTTAAATTATTTCTAATTCTAAGGTTACTCTATAGAGTTACAGAGTTAGATATAAAGGTCACCTCTGTGTGTGTGTGTGAGAGAGAGAGAGAGAGAGAGAGAGAGAAAGCTCCCTGCTGATCCCCATAATCTCTCTGCTCAAAACTAACTTGGACATGGGGCACCTGGGTGACTCAGTTGGTTAAGTATCTGAGTTCGGCTCAGGACATGATCTCAGGGTCCTGGGATTGAGCCCTGCATTGAGTTCTGCACTCGGCGGGGAGTCTGCTTGTCCCTCTGTCCCTCCCCCAACTCATGTTCTCTCTCTCTCTAATAAAGAAATAAATAAAATTTAAAAAAGACTAACTTGAACACAATGGGCTGAGCTTCCTAGGTTACTCTGAAGCCCTCCACCTTGTTCAGAATTTTCCAATCACTCCATATTTCATGTGATAAAAACTTCAAACTCACTTGACTAATTTTCAGAGGACTTCTGTGATCTGGCTTCATCTGATCAGATACACTCTGTTTCCACTGTTCTGCTCTCCAAAAAAACATGCAACTGTCTCCTCTCTCAGTTTCTGCGTTCAGTTCTGCTTCTGTCTTTCACCTCAGGGTATGCCCTTGTGTGGACTTTCATCAGACTAAGTCTTACCCATTTCAGAAGACAAGCGAGTCCCTCCTATTGTCAAGCGCCCCAATTCTCTTCCAAGACTACCTTACCACTTACACAGTGCTTGCTGTGACTTTGAGCATTTATGTTGGCGGGGACCACATAGTAAGTGTACAATTATTATGTACTTTTCTTCCGCTGAAGACACTCAATTTAACCTAGAAAAGGTCAATGCAACTCCTAAAATTAAATGGAGGCAATGAAAGTAACGTAGAATATATTTTAAGGCCTGGGTTCAAAGCCTAGCTCTCCTACTTATGAAGGCAGTGATTCTCATTCAAAGGTCTGTGACCTTCTAGGGTCCATTTCAGAGGAGGCATGAGGTTTGGAAACTCTCCTTTCCTTAGTTTTATGCAGATGATTTTAGTATCTACTCACCCACTCTTTTTATTATTTATTTATTTATTTATTTGGTAGGCTCCACGCCCAGTGTGGGGCTTGAACTCATGACCCTGAGATCAAGAGTCACATGCTCCACCGACTGAGCCAGCCAGGCATCCCTACTCACCCACTCTTGAAAGGTGTTTAAATATAACAGTATCATACAATGTCATAAACTATCACTGTAACTTAGAAATTAAGCTCATTTCCCCAGGAAGCATAAATCCTTGCATACCTTAGCAAATCATCTTTTCTTATATAAAATAACAGGTAAAGCATCCATCAGAATCCTGGTTTGACATGTTTTTATGAGGCCGATGTTTCCATATATCCTTTTACTGTGGTAGCACATTTAGTCACATGGAGTCAGAAAATTCAGTATTTTTTCTTAGGAAAGGATGGAGCAAATACTATTTCTTTACTTAAGGTCCTTTTCAAGTTTATGTTAAAGAGATTATCTGATGAGTGACATAACTGAAGGCCTTTTACATTATCTGATGTACCTAGGGATTAATTTCTCCTGCTAGGTTTCCAGTCAAATTTTGACTTAACCAGCCTCTTTCAAACATAGACACTTATATCTCTAATGAACAGACTGAGATGTACCAAAATCCACACAAACTCCCCTTTCATCATGACCTGGAAAGGCCTTGCCTTACCCCCATTGGACATCAATCTAGAGCATGTCCCAGCTCATCAAGCCCCCTTGGGTACAGCAATATAAGCCATTAAATCCCCATTACACACAGCAGTTTAAGCTACTAAGCCAACTACCCTGTAGGCTAGCTCTAAAGTTGAGGTGATCCCAACATGGCCCCTATGGGTTATAATTCTACCTACAGCAGCAGACTAACACTATGACCATAAGTTCATTATGGACACATGCTTACGCAGGCAAACACACACACACACACACACACACACACACACACACTGCATAACATTGCTGCTTAATGGTGTCATGTTTTTAAACAATTTTTGAATTTAATTTTTAAAACTGTGAGGTTTGAGTTGATCTCTCTCTCACTCATTTTGCCTCTTCTTTCAGTTTTACATGGTCCTTAAATGCATTTCAAGTTTATTATGGTATTTATGTGACCAAGTTGGTGAAATAAGTCTTTATGACGTTGCATCCGCCAAGGTTCCTTTGACCAAAAGAATTGTCTAAAGAAGTCCCAAAAATCCTAGAAAAGATTCTGATTATAACCAAGTCTCACAGAGATTCTTTCGGGCTGTGACATAGATGTTAAATTGTCCAGCTCACTTAACCTTGGAAATACACTGTGCTTTGAGCCTTAAATAGGGAAGCTTAGGAGCCAAGACACTAAAACCAATAAGTTCTCATCCTGAATTTTGCTAATATAAAAATTGCCAAGGCTTTTTTTTGGGGGGGGGTCAAAAACAATGGACATGTGCCTCAAAAGAGGCCTAAGGTAGAACTCTCTTCCCCCAGGAAAACTCATTCCATTCCATTAAGAGTTTAATGATGTACTAAAAGGCACCTGTTATTCCTACCTCCAAAACCTTTTGCTTTATAAACTCTATCAATCATCATCCTGGAAGTAACAGTTGATGTTGTTTATGAAATTTCCATGAAGATCAAGTGTAAAGAGAATAAGAAGCAATAAGCAAAAGGTGGTAGGTTAAGAAAGAAAATCAGAAGGGAAAAGGAAGAACAGAAAAAGAAACGGGAGAGGCAGGAAGGGAGGGAGTGAGGAAAGAGAGAAAGGGAAAGAGAACAAGAGAAAGAAGAGAAAAGAAAAGAAACACTAATTTTAATTTTTTGGAATAAACCATTATCAAGATATTATCATGGGATGTTTCCAGAGTAATAACTCATGATCATCTTGAAGTTTTTATTAAATAAATACCCAGTGGACTGTGTGACTTAATATTTCTTTCTTTTTATTCTTAGTGGATACAACTTATCACTGTTTTGTTTTGGTTTGTTTTAAAGATAGTCATTTCTCAATCATTTCTCATCTTCCCTTTAAGGTGAATTGGATTTCTCTTCAAAATCATGTCCTTGGTATTGTTACAGGATCATCTCCAAGGCATCCACTGTTATTGTTGTGAGTATCAGAGTTCTCTTTGCTTTCAGAAAGCAAAGACAAATGACTCTTCTCAACCTCTGCATCTATACAGCAATAGGAGATTAGTGCATTTTCACCAAAGAAAACACTTTCATCTAGCATCAAAGAAATAAAATCAGTCAAATTCAGAGACATCTTTCCTCTGTCTTGCTTTTTTTCCCTAATACACAATATTTTTTCTGTAGTAGCAAAGACATATTGTGATTTCCCCAAGTCAGTCATGTTGCTGAAAGTTTCTAATCAATGACTTAAGGCTACATGGGAGTCACAGGCCTTTTAAAAATACACCAAAGTGTGCTTATTACAATCTACTTTCATTTCTAGGGAAGGCATTTTTTTTTTTTGAAATAACACATATGCTCTTTGAGATCAACTGGTGTCTAAGTAATAGGGGCAGTTTTGCCAGGGCTATGTTAAAACCTTCATGGATCCCACTTTGTTTTAAAGCTTCCGTCGTACATCATAGTCAACATGTAAGATGCCCTCGAATCCCACATTAAATGTCATTAGTACTGTATATAATTTGAATGCATTTTTATAATTTTGCTTCAGAAATTATTGGCCTGTGAATAATCCAATTGATTTATGACTGGTTATGATTCTTAGACAGTAATCAAGCACACTCAGGAATTTTTTTTTTTTTAAGATTTTATTTATTTATTTGACAGAGAGAGACACAGAGGGAGCAGGAACACAAGCAGGGGGAGTGGGAGAGGGAGAAGCAGGCTTCCCGCCCGCCGAGCAGGGAGCCCAACGTGGGGCTTGATCCCAGAACCCTGGGATCATGACCTGACCCAAAGGCAGAGGCTTAACGACTGAGCCACCCAGGCACCCCCACACTCAGGAATTCTTGCAGTATTACACCATCTAAATCTAGAAATTGTTTTCCGATGTAATAGAATTGTTTTAATACTAAATTTAACAATTGATTAAGTGGACCTAATGTCACATTTTGTAGTGATTAAATATTCATTAATGTTAAATTTGGCAGTTCC